CACACACACACACACACACACACACACACACACGCACGGTCCTGGATTTGCAGAAGACAGACATCTAGGGCACTTCTTGGCATCCACAGGAAAATCATATGGGATTAAAAAACCACAGCAGTAAGTACTCACTGCATTAAATGTTTATTAAGTGGCATGCTGTCAAAATCTAGATTTAATAGTAAATACAGGAGGACTTTAATGGAAATGGGTTGTATTTGATTTTTCTTAGGAATTGCTGAAAGCTGCCTCTCGAGAACTGCAACTTCACCTTTTGCTTTTATGGATGCTTGTTTACTATCCATGTGGTAACCTCTGGACAGCCAGTAATCCGTTCATTATCCACACTGATTGAGTGCGGGAGTAGTGCAGTGGTAACTACTTCGCTCAGCTGACGGCAGACGACAAAAGGAAGGAAATGATGAATTCGGACAATTTAACCTCGCAAAGCTTCCTCTCTGTGATTCATAGCAATGCCAGCAATTTATTCTCAGGGCTCCAGTTTGTTCAGACCTTCAAGCCACTCATCATCCCCTGCTACTCACTAGTGGTTTTTATTGGTGTCATTGGGAATTACCTTCTCATTTATGTTATCTGCAAGACGAAAAAAATGCACAATGTCACCAACTTTCTGGTAGGCAATCTGGCTTTCTCGGACATGCTCATGTGTGCAACCTGTGTACCCCTGACACTCGCGTATGCCTTTGAGCCCAGAGGATGGGTGTACGGGCGTTTCATGTGCTACTTTGTTTTCCTGATGCAACCTGTCACTGTGTTTGTGTCTGTCTTTACCTTGACTGTCATAGCTGTGGATAGGTATTATGCCATGGTGTACCCATTCCGCAGGAGGCTCACAATCCCTGTTTGTGCTTATATCCTGGCTGCTATTTGGCTGCTGAGCTGTACCTTGGCTGCCCCAGCCTTGGTCCACACTTACCACGCAGAGTTCCCAGAATTGGACTTCTCTATCTGTGAGGAGTTTTGGTTCCACATGAAAAGAGATCGCTTAGCTTACGCCTACAGCACTCTCATCATCACCTACGTACTGCCTTTGGCTGTCATCTCCCTGTCCTACCTGAGAATCTCAGTCAAGCTGAAAAACCGTGTGGTCCCAGGCAACGTCACCCAGGGCCAAGCTGAGTGGGATCGAGCAAGGAGGAGAAAGACTTTTCGCTTGCTAGTCTTAGTGGTGGCGGCCTTTGGAGTCTGTTGGCTGCCTCTGCACATCTTCAACGTGATAAAGGACATAGATATCAGCTTGATTGACAAGCAGTACTTCAACTTCATCCAGCTGCTGTGCCACTGGTTTGCAATGATGTCTGCTTGTACCAATGCCTTCCTCTATGCCTGGCTCCATGACAGCTTCAGGGGAGAGCTGAAGAAAATGTTTTCCCGGAGAAAGAAGAAAATTGGACCCACTACAAATTGCATTATGGCTAGTGTGGTGCTGTAAACGAGAGCTGGTGGGAGTGCACTTCCTTCGTACGGTAACACTGTAAGTCTTTTCCACTATTAATTAGTCCTGATTCCTGACATTTGTCCTCAGGGCTCAATTATAACAACACAAGTTGCATGTGTAGCTTCCCCAGCTCCTCCACTCCTACTGGAGGTGGAGAAGCAGACATCAAGTCCCAGAAATGTCTTTCCTTCTTTGACAGGAGTTAGAGGCCAAAGAGATGTTAGCACAATAAGATTCCCTTATGTAAACTACAGGGATCCTTCCTGTATGTTTTGGATATTGCTGGCAGTACAGACATGGGATTTGGGGACAGGGAGAAGCAAGGATGAATGAGAGACCTAAATATCTCAGTGAGGAAGTGCTTGGATTGGGTAAAAATTAAATCTGCAGATCTACCCAGAGTCCAGTCCTTAGCATAGGACCCAGGGTGGAGGATTAACAATATTACTAGTGCAGTCCTATTGGGTTAGGGCCATGCTGAAGAATAGCCTAAGGCTCTCCGAAATGCCCTTCCTGAGCAGCTCTCAGCTCTGGGCAGGAAACCAGGTTGGTTTTTTTGTGCGACCCTTGGTGGGGTGTGCTGTGTCTGCCCTGCATGGTTTCCTCCCTCACTCCCATTTTCTCCTTTCCACTGGCCGAGTGGATGGAATACCAGCCTTTGCAGCAGGGCTGCTCACCTGCCTGCCGTGGCCACCTGCATTGGGCAGGAATCTGTGCTTTATGCTTTTTGAAGCCGGCATCATCATGCAATCCCAAACCTCCTGTGTCTCGTGAACCTGCAGCACAGCACGTAGCAAGGTGAGATGCAGTATTGTGAGAGGGGAAATAAAACCGGAGTGCTGTTATTCCTGTGAGGCGCAGCTGTGACGCAAAGTGTGCGACAGCCTATTTGGTGGATTTGCTGATGCTGTCACCAAGGATGGACAGACTGGAAGCATAACGTGTGGTGGAAACTCATCCAAATAGGGGGACATTAAGACATACCACCACTTTACTGACATTGAATTGTGTTCCTGCCATTGTCTCATGCAACCCCAATTTGCTGACCCTACCACAAGGCAGCTGAGTTCCCAGCCAGAGGAGTGGATGTCACTGTAGACTCATCGGTGCAGAGATGCTTTCTGCTCATTCCTTGAGGAACAGATTTTGATGTGTGGCAATGCTGCCATCAGCTTTGATCTCCAGAGACAGCCAGAGAGTTTGATACTGTCTTCAGGTGCTCTTCTGGAGGTGTCTGTTAAGAGGCAGTGGGTGGAAGGGGCTGGTGACATTGAGCCGTGTATGAGCATTGTGTGACTAGTCAAAGAAAGACCTGTCAAACGGAGCGGAGTGGCAAGTGCTCACTTTTGAAGGAGTCTTTTGGGAAAAAACAATTTCCTTTGAGATTCCCCTTTCAATCAGATGAGGGAGTTAGAAGCTATGATCAACCTAAAGGTTTCTATTTTCTTCCTCCCTCTGAACTGAAAATATCCAAGATAATAGATAAGTGTAAGGGAAAAAGTTCTGAAAGCAGACATTGTTTCTGAAGAGGTTTCTTCCAGCCTGCTCAGCCAGAATCTGTGATGGCACAAGGAACTGACTGATACTGAGCTGAGATCGGCCAGAGAAGCAGCGTAGTCCAGGGGCAGTTTTGGCCATGGTCAGCAAGGGCATCTACCCCACTGCAACTGCACATGGCCAGAAATGTATGGGCTGTGAAGCAATGCAAACGGACGAGGGAGGAGAGGGAAGAAAGAGAGGATGGTTTCTCTAGTTTGTAAATGTACTCCTACTGTGAAACTGAGAATATCATTTTGCTTATCAGCATTCAGTAAGCTAACATGGTTAAAAAAAAAAATACACAGATGTGTACGCACACACTGGGAAAAGCATTGGAAAAACGTTTGAAATCCCTTCTCACAAATTTCCTTCGAATTTCAAGCTGTTCTGTTGGTAGTAATGAGGAACTGAGTATTAGAAGCTGATTACAGAGACACTGAATCAAGGAAAGTCTTTTTAAAGTGGGTAATACTTGCATTCACTCTGTGATGAAATGTATCTGCCTTGCTTACCTTGATTTAAAGATTTGAATGACTTAAAGGATGTTTTACTTCTGCTGAATTTTGGGAAATTGTTTTTCCTTCGAGCTCAATATATCAAGTTACTGGAATAACTGGTGATTTCAAAAAGGAAAAAAACCAAAAACCTTCCAAATAAACCAACCAAATCTTATAAGCTTTTCAGCTTCTGTTTCAGGGCTCTGTTGAAGAGAACAGAGTAGGACACAGAGAGCACTGAAACAACACTGCAAAAAGCAGCCTTAAACAACAACAAAATCCTGATTTTTAGAGATTTTTCTATGGAATTATGTTAATTCAAGCTGTTAATTTGTCAGTTTGTAAAGGCTAATCAGCATTGAGATGGCCCATAATATTTACAACCTTGTGCACTAAATACAGACAGCACTGTAATCCAGAGCGATCCAAAGCCCAGTGGAGTAACTGGGAAGACTCTTGTTAACACAGCAGGCCTGGGATCATTTCCTTCTTACACATCGTGTTTTTACCCTCATTTGCTGGCGCTGCAGTTTGCCTTATTAATGTTCTCTTGAATATTAGTGACTGCAGATGGCTACTGCAGAGAGCTGCACGAAGCAAACAAGAAGGATTTCTCTCTATTTTTTTCTTTTTTTCCTGGGAAAAGGAAATGCACTGGGAACATCTCGCTACCAGCAGCTGCTGGAGCTGCAGTTAGAGCAGTGCCAAGGTCCGTCATCTCAAGGAGGTCCTCAGGAGTGCCCAGCACAGCAGGCACCCTTGTTTAAGGGCTGGTTTAACCTGTACATGCCTTGAATCTTTCAAGACTTGCATTTCCAGCAGAAAGCTCAGAGCCTGCCCCTTGCTTCAGGCCCTTCTCAGGACTAGGTTTTGCAGATGCACCCTGAAGTGATCTGCGTTCCTCAGCCATGGGCTCCTGAAGCTCCTTCTCTCTCCTCAGCAGCCCCCTTGGCCCACCTCAGTGGTCCTGCAAGGCCATTTTTCCAGGTTTTCCCTGCATGGTGCACAAAGGAGGTCCAGCCCTGAGCAGGAGGGCTGGGGGTCCCACAGGCTGGTGGGGACCGAGGCACAGCCACATTCGCTCAGCCCCACCTCTGAATTGAGCCCCAAGAATCTCTGCTCAATGTAATTACTGTTTTCTCTGATATCCAGAGTAATAAACAATAATAAGATTTAGAGGCATGTTGGTGTGCTTCTTTAATCCGGTTATGCAAATAATTATATTACAGGCCGTCATGTGAAATGTGTTTGCTAATCTCCACCCCTCTCTGGGGAACTGCTGTGGTTCTCTGAGGGACCAGGGCTCCTCACTACAGTATTTTTGGTGGTATAATTTTTAATTACAATTTAAGAAATCATTGCATGCTTTGATTTTATAAAGTAGCCTGGTTCAAAACTTGGTGAACCTATTAACTTTCCCTGTAAGGGTTTTAGTTGTTTCTTGCTTACACTCGAATCCAAGGATTCGCACACTGCAGGCCAGCTGCTCTGCAGGGATGGAGCAGGGTTTGCATCTGAGCTGAGATATGGCAGAATCATATATGCTCCTCGTCTGCTGGGATTTCATTCCCGTTTCTTACGTGTACCGAGAGACTTCTATAAGTCTATAGGTAGAGAGCCAGGAGTTCTGCATTTTACAGCAATAAATACATGCTCTTTATGGTGGCTCCTCAGACCATTCCTAAAGGACAGTCTCTGGTAAACATTCCTAGATGCACTATGGAGTTTGTACATGTGCTCTGTGGTGGTGTTTGCAGGTAGATCTCAAATGCGTTAGCCAGCAAGTGGATCATCAGAACATGGTGAGTCTTGGGCTTTGGAAATGGAGGGCCCACTTAGGACCACACTCACTCATTGTAAAAATCATCTGGGAGATTTCACTGTGGCCAAGCTTCTACAGCTCAGAAGGCTCTGCGTATCTTAAATGTGGAGATTAATAGTGATACAGAACGAGCTGATGGGGAGAGGCAGGGGAGGGTGAGATGTCTTCACTTTAATTAAGAGCACAGATTTAGAGAGCAGGAATCACAGCTTCACAATTTGAAGCTATTCTGCATAGCTGTTGGAGGGACTCACAGAGCATAGATCTAGCAAATACACTGTATTTCCAACATTTATAGATGCAAAAATTCTTAATCAAACATAAGCTACTCCCTCTGGTCAAACATGGGATTGGTATTAAAAGGCAATGTACTTATGAAACATGTAAAAAAGTAAATCAGTATTTGATCAGGAATTAAAAACCAGATTAGATGGTGAACAAGGTCACTGAATCTGAAATCAGACAGCCAAAGCAAAACAACAGTTAATCGAACCTCAGTTCGGGTCAGGTAGAGTTAGTCTTTCCCCCACCTTGAAAATGGCAGCTCAGAGCAAAGACTAACTTGTTTGTGCAATGCATTGTTTTAAATAAATTTTCCTTATACTTGGACAAAGAAAACTGTGAGAGCTGTATTTGTATCACACTTGGGGAACGGCAGTTTATCTGGGATGGGCAAAAGCAGATCCTGCCATAAGGCCATTACTCACAGGAGCATGATGAGTGCTTCCCAGCTGATAGACTGGGAAAAGCTGGTATTTTTCATACCAGCTGAATAACAGATGCTCTGTACAGTTTTAATTGAATGAATCTTGCTTGTTGAGGTGTCAACGGGGAGTTATAATTAGATGGCTAAGATTATGCAGGGTACAGATAAAAGCTGAAAATGGTACACCCATGGCTGGGAAAAAATGCCAAACTGGACAGAACTGTACAATGCATCCATCAATCTGCCTACTAGACAAGAAGAGGGCAGAGAGAGAAACAACGTGCTGGTGGTAAAGCCACTGCTGTCTTTGCCACTTCTGCATGAAGAAATCTAATACAAATGTTAACCGTCAGCCCTCCCCTCTCACAGCCCACTATCTTTTTCTTTTCTCAGAAAAAATAGTTGCATTCCTCCTGCTTCCCCTGGAGAAAAAGTTGCTCAAGGGTCAAAG